TCCCGGCCATGGACTAGCACCAGGCCGCAGACCAGGGGTTGGGGACCCCTGTTCTAGAGCTTCTGTGATCAGAAAAGATACATTAATACAAGCCCCTACCCCCTAGTATATGTACCTTGGTGCCAAGGCTCTCCTTTCAGTTTCTCTTCAACCAACACATTGAGAACCTCGCTTGTAGCTTCTGTAAGTTTTTTCTCTGAAAAAAAAAGAAATGAAAACATTTATTGTTATTTTAATCTTATTTCTTTACTAACTCTTTGCTTCGTCCTTCAGACCGAAGCTCCCCCCCCCTTCTCCGTCTTCTGTTCCTAGCCTCTTCAGACCCATTTAAACATTGTATGGTCTGTAATAATAAGATCCGTCTTTCCAACGGCCAAGCTAAGTGCCTCTTTTGTCTCAGAGAGGCTCATCAAACCTCTTCCTGCCCCACTGTAAAACTTCAGGCATGGGGTGCAACACAGTCACCTTTCCAGGCTTAAACTTTGACTTTGTGAACAATCCCTCCAGCCAGGCAAACTTATGGCACAACTAACATGCAACATGCCTCACACCAGCGCCATGGACAAGGCCGTTTCCAGAGCGATGTAACTGTCCGTCGGCCACCCCCTCCCATTCCAAAGAATAAGGGGCCCCTTCAACGTTGACTTTGGCCTTATCTCCTGCTGCTTGGCCTCACAACACCAAAAATTCGACATCGACCGCCTTGATATCAAAACCTCCAGTCACCAAACGGAAGGTGTTGATTGACCAGCCCTCAGTGGCTGAACCTTGTCCACCAAAAAAGGCCAAGTCATCAAAGTTGAAGCCCTCAACTGCAACTGTTTGTCCCACTCGGGATCACCAGTGTCCATCTATGATAATCCAGTGCGGGCCATTGGCTCCCTTACCAGCTTGGCAGCCCTTTCGACATTGACATCAGGCTCCACAAGCTCCATATTGAGCCTGCCTCCATGCCAACCTCATTGACGTTGAGGATCCTCAATATCATCTTACCATGGGGGCACCTTCAATGTTGACAACTCAACATCAACAGCCCTCCCATTTCCAATATCAAGGCGATCAACCTTTCGACACTGATGTTGATCGATTCACCTCATGGTGCTAATCCTTCTGACCAAGGCTCGAGGCCCCAAACACCAGCGGTGCTCTTAACGTCACCGGATTTAGACCTTTTAGATCCAGACCCACCATCTCCAACTGAGGACTTTCAGACTTATGCCCACTTAATGGTTTGTATGGCTAAATCTCTCAAGCTCCAGATTCATACCCACTGCTGAACCATCGGCCCATCTTTACGATCCGATTTCTAAAGACACTATCACACCAGTCCACATCTCTATGCTTCCTTCTCAGCACACCTAAATGTTCTTGGACTAAGCCAGCCTCATCACATGCTATCTCCTGGTGTACTGACAACCTCTATCGTGTTCATGATCCCAATGACATTTTTCTACAAAAAGAGCCTGCTCCTAATTCCATCTTTGTCAAGGCTTTGCAGTCCCGCTCTCGACATCGACAAAACCTGATTCCACCTAATAAGGACAGTCATCACATAGACTTAATGGGCCAATGGCTTTATTCCTCAGCTGCTTTTACCATGAGAGCTACCAACTATCAAGGGGCTATGGGTGCCTACCAACACTTCTTATGGGACAACATGTCCACTCTGATTGAAGCACTACCTGATGATAAAAGGATTCTGGCACAAACCTGCAGGAAAGCCTCTCAGTGGCTAAACAACAAATGTTGGCAGCATGTCACACTGTTGATGCCACATCTAAGTCTATGGCCACCTCTGTTTCTCCTGGCTGAGGACAGCTGGCCTTGCAAAGGATGCCCACGCCCATATCAAAGACCTCTCCTTCAATGGTGTCAGCCTTTTCAAGGCCAAAAAAGATGACATTCTTGAGAATGTACAAAAGAACCGAACAGCTGC